AACCCTTACAGCTCATACACCAATCTACGTACTATTCCATACCTAAGCTGCTAAATATCTCCATACAACAACCCTTACAGCTCATACACCAATCTACACGTACTATTCCATGCCTAAGCTGCTAAATATCTCCACACACTAACACTCACAGCTCTTACACCAATCTACGTACTATTCCATGCTTAAGCTGCTAAATATCTCCATACAACAACCCTTACAGCTCATACTCCAATCTACGTACTATTCCATACCTAAGCTGCTAAATATCTCCATACAACAACCCTTACAGCTCATACACCAATCTACGTAAAGATATTTAGCAGCTTAGGTATGGAATAGTACGTAGATTGGTGTATGAGCTGTAAGGGTTGTTGTATGGAGATATTTAGCAGCTTAGGCATGGAATAGAATAGTACGTAGATTGGTGTAAGGGTTGTTGTATGGAGATATTTAGCAGCTTAGGCATGGAATAGTACGTAGATTGGTGTAAGAGCTGTGAATGTTAGTGTGTGGAGATATTTAGCAGCTTAGGCATGGAATACTACGTGTAGATTGGTGTATGAGCTGTAAGGGTTGTTGTATAGCCATACCTAAGCTGCTAAATATCTCCATACAACAACCCTTGCTAAATATCTCCATACAACAACCCTTACAGCTCTTACACCAATCTACGTACTATTCCATGCCTAAGCTGCTAAATATCTCCACACACTAACACTCACAGCTCATACACCAATCTCCGTACTATTCCATACCTAAGCTGCTAAATATCTCCATACAACAACCCTCACAGCTCTTACATAAGCCTACACATCTAAGCTTTCCAATTATCTCCACACACTAACCCTCATAACTCTTACACCATTCAACACAGTATCCTATACCTGTAGTATACACGTTTATACTTTAACCTGTGTATTTTATTAGTGATTTACTCTCTATGAATATTACCACAAAAAACATACTGTAAGATTTAATTACAAATTCTCTATAATTCTAAAACAATACAATTCTCTGCATATTCAAGCATGAAAATATAACACCTGTTGTTACCTTTACTTAATTCAAGTGTAAACATCGCCTCATCTTGCATATTTTGGACAACCTGTGAATAAAAAACAAAACAAAAACTGAGATATATTTACTGAAAATAGCAACTTAGTGATTGCAAGTTATATAAAACACAGTAACAATAGGTATATTTTTAAAGTGTTGAGTTGTGCATTAAATACTCATGTAGCTGTAGATATGGTTGATGGATAAGGTAAAATGTGCTTAGAATGCTAAATTTATGGTGTTCTGGTTGATACCTTAAAAACACTTTGAAAATATCTGTGAACAGTTATGTTGTACTAAACATAAACTAACAACAAATATTGTATTTAGCTTTATATCAGGCATACAATTAGTGAATAACATTGTGTTGATTATAGGATATAAAGCTATATTAACAGTACATTACTATATAATACAAAAAATCACTTTGGGGAACTTGTTCTATATGCAAATTTGCTAAAGCCACTTTTTACATCTGTCTCACATCCATTGAAATAGAAACTAGTTTTTAGTCTGAAAAGTCAGAAATTATGGATCATAAAAATTAATTTATTTGGAAAAATGCCAACTTTGTTTTTGAATTTTCTAGAAAAATAAATGGTTGTGAAATCAAAGAAAAACAAACTGTGGTAAAAGGAAGTAGCAGAGAAGTCTTTTTCAACTTCATAACTTCACATGAATCTTAGAATGAGAATTTTAACAAATGAAAAGGCTTTCCACAGTCTGGTTTTTGGTTGAAATGACTCAAAAGAAGGTTGGTGTTGTGCAAACTGAGAGGCTTCTTATGTCCTTGTTGGATTCATTTTGATAAACTAGTTAACCCCATGAATGAATTTTTCTATTTTAATAACAAGCAAGAATATGCATGATTAATTTCAAATCATAAAATAATCAGAGGAACTTTCTTATAATGAACTAGACATCAGAAATAAAGATTAAAAGTTATAAATGATTTTTTGATGGTTGCAATGGGTATTTGCATATTGAAAGAAAGTTAAATTCCACATGTGTATTTATCTTAAAACCTAATACATGTTATTTAATTGCAGTACGAAGAGGATTATGTACTGGATGAAGGTACATTATTCAATTAATGAAGTTAAAAAACATATTTTGTATTGTTACCTATAGTATAGGCTACACAATTTCAAAATATGGTGAACAAACAGTACACAAAAGACACATTATGGATGACTGAAATAGGAAAACCAAATCAACAAAATCTGTTCAAGTTGCCATACCGATGGTATCATTAAGGAGGTCTGGACATCCAGTAGTTGTCCAAAACTAAATTTTCAAAATGAAGTTATTGTAGCTTATAAACAATTAAATTCTGCTAAAATTGGATGTTATCTTTATAATCTTCTATCCTCATTTCTGGAATCTGAATTATTAATTTTTATTATTACAAATACAGAAATGGCAAAATACTATCACTAAGAGTTGAGGAAAATAAACTTTTGAAACAATCAAACTCAATGTGTCAAAATATTACAAGTTTCATGTAAAACTCATGCACACCAGAACATGTGCCATTACATATGCTTATGTGAGAGGATAGGTACAAGTCTCTTTTGACTGTCACACAAGTATATAAAAACAAAGTCACCTATGAAGAAAAATAACTGGCTATTACACATTCCTCACTAAAGTTAGAGAGAGATAATATTCACCTGATCTGTGAGTAGAACCTTGATACCAGATGGTCCACAACAACATATTGAAGTGTGAGTTTGGAGATGTAGGGAGAAAACATTATTGAATTGGGTGACTAGCTCTGTTACTGTTAACTTCTCAAAAAAGATGGCTCGAAAAACTGAAATGCAGAAAATCCATAAGTTTTACACATTAAACAAATTTAATGAATTTTCAACTGAGAAAAAGACAAAAAATTTGGACCTTTACACAAATTCATTTTTTATTCAGATAAATACAAATTATTCCTAGGTTTAATTTTATGTCTTTAATTCTTTGAAATATTATACAAATTTAACCCTAAGTTCACAAACCATGCCCAGATTGGTGATAAGTATCAAGTACATAACATTCAGAAAATTTTTTAATCTACTAAAAATATACTGGAATGATAGTCGTAAATTAGGGCTTCTCTTCTTTGAAGATGAAATGTAAGTTTATTCATTTGGGAGTTATTCAACATTTTTTGCCTTTCCTTTGACCAATATTTACCATTTTCTAATCAAAATTTGATTTTTTTTGCTATTTCCTGTCTTAAAGCATAAAAAAACTAATATAGATCACTAAGAAAAATTTAGAAGATGATCTTATGCCTCTAATTACTTTAACGGCAAAGTTAAGAGAGGTTTTCAGTGAATTAAATGCAATTGTGGGGATGTAATCATAATGAGATATTATTTGAAGTTATCAAATAAAAGAGAGGGAAAAGAGAGAGTTTCTAAAAAATATAAAACAATGAAAATTAGAAGTGAAAATAAAAAGCTTCTTCTGCTTTTTCCACTTTGAAAGCAAAAGTTGTTGTTGGCTTGGATCTTGAAGCTGGTAATTCAAATGTTAATAAAGCTAATCTATTGTTCCCTTTACAAAAAAAAACATTTTGTAAAGGTTACTTTGCATACTTTGTTTGTTCTTGCTCTTTTTCAAATATTCATGGTTATTGTTTCAACTGAAACATTTAAGTTTCTTGCCATGTTTATACTAAAAATATCAATTAACCTTTGTCAAAACGGTCAACTTTCACTTTACAACCAATTTGGGAGTCCTATCAAAATCAGTTTCAGTTGCAAATTCATGATTTGAAAATAACCAAGTATGATTTTTAATTTATAATTTAAAGTTACTCACCGAAAAACTATGTTTAAACTAAGTAATTGTACTGATACCACCCACTTGTACATGCAAGAGCAATTATAGAGCTCATCAAAATTTTCATATTTCAGTTATTCTCATTTCATCTGTTGAATAAGTCTTCACTCTTTCATATAAACTTTTATACATAGTTCACTTTTACTCCTATCAAGTTTACCACAAAATATGATGTTCCATAAAGAATGACTTCAAGCTTTCATTATTAATATATACAATCAAAACCAGCTAAGCCAACACAAGAGTAAACAACATTCATCTAATTACCAGTATTTAATATTGTTTTATAATGAACAGACAATGAATCTTCAGAATAATTTAAAATACAACTAGTTGAAGTCAAACATCAGACCATATACTTATTACACCAAATATAATGTCATTTATCAATATATCACACTAGGTAAAAAGACCATACAGAGAACTGACTGCATCTTTAAGACTAGTTCTTTTTCATGAAATACAAATATTAACTGTATGTCATGCTTGAATGAGACAAAATAAGCTTTTAAAATGAATCTACCAGATACTAGAAGAATCAGAAATCCTACAGCACATAAGTCTAGGGACCGCGAGTTTATGTTCAGACAAAAGCAACTTCAGATTTACATACTCCAGCTTTACTCATAATTAAATATTTTGACATCACATGACAACTTTGATGATATTAAAAAAATTTCAGACCAATAAGAAAATAAAGTTAATGGTACTTGTACAGTCTCCTTACCTTGTTCTGATGAAGGACATACATAAATAGTTAAACGAGGTGGTATTCTCCTAGAATAATAGTAATAAAAAAAATTAATTACTTCCTGTTCAATGAAGCATCTTTGAAAGTTTTAAAAGTTTATGCATGCTTGGCATCTGTTTTTTTACCTCTTCTATAACAACTGTACATCTCTTTCTGTGAATACAATACAAGACATAAAATTAAAGTTTATAATATTTAAAAAATACATCAGAACTGTTACAGAGGTTTAAGGTTAATGTTTCTGTAGGAAATAAAAGGAAACAGTTAAATGTTTGAATGATCAAGAGATAGAAACTATAAGAATGCAAAAGTTACTTTGGTCTTTTTCAACATGGGAAGTTTCTGTTATATAAATAACCATTCTTTATAAGGCTTTTCCATATAATAAACTCTTTATAACAAAGACTGTTATTATTAACATTTTTCAGAAAAACGAATATTTAAAAAATTATCAAAGGGCAATTACTAAAATACCTAGCATACTTAATTAAACTTAACATAAAGGTAACTTATTATCTTGAAAAATTATGACATTTTGCATTAGACTATTACACCTTGTTTCATGAAAATATTCCAAGTGTATGTGTGAATTATATATAAATAATTCTATGAAGCTTCTGAATAAAGACTATTATTATAGGACATTTTACATAATGCATAATTTTCCAGTTTCATACTTTTTATTTTTCAGAACACATATGTTTGATTCAAACTTTTAGTACTTCTAATCACCAGTTATCTCTACAATGTAAAAACAAACAAACAATTATGGTCTAGTAGGCATATTCAGGTTGCTGGAGTAGTTAGTGCAGACTAATTACACATGTATTTCACAGGTGTTTTGAAATGAAAGAGACGCACAAGAGAGGTTTGATTTGAAATGGTTTTTGGTACAAAGTCACTGAAAAAACAAGCAGAAAGCAACAACATTAATTACAAACCTAGAACAAATGGTATATCTGCCTCATAGAATAGGGAAATGATGAGATTGAATGACATTTCTGATACATTTTCTGTACAATGCTATATGACTGATAATCTGAATTATTCTCCGATAATAAGATTGATTAATCTGAACATTAACATTTTCCTTACCTGAAAATATATTTGTGATAGATACATACCTCATCACAAAGATTTAGCTGTCTTCTCTGTGTGCCTGCCCGAGAAATTTGCGTGCCACTAGTCTTATAGCAAGTCCCATTTAATTTCATGTGAATTGTGCTACTACATGATAAGTCCTTTGATAAGTCAAGGAAGAGAATGTGCACAGGAAGTGAGAAGATCGGCTAGATACATTCCTCATCACAAAGATTTAGCTGTCTTCTCTTTGTTCCTGCCCAAGAGACCTGTGTGCCACTAGTCTTACGGCAAGTCTCACCTAATTTCATGTGAATTGTGCTACTAAATGATGTAGTAATCCAGCGACAAATCCCTCCACCAATAGGAGGGCAGCAACACACCTCCATGTGTAATGACTCCTCCTATGCATTTGCACTGGAAGTGAGAAGGATGGGTAAGAATTTGCATGGAGGTATCTACTGGAAGTACATTTTTAGGGAATGAAAATGTGAACTTCCGAGATGATACCTCACCTCTTCACACAAATGTAGCTACATTTCTATATTGAAATGGTGGAGGGGTCAGTGCAAAATTTACCTAGATGAGCTGCCTTCAGGAAGCACCCAAAGGAAGCACATGGGGAGTGACATCCAATGGCAGGAGCTATATATGGACACTCATTTTGTCCAGGGTATACCCATATAGGAAAATGGATGCAAAGAAGCCAATTTTGTGTCATAGGAATGGGTGGAATGTGAATTTGACCATCCAAGTATTTGTACACAAGTTGTCAGACAGCCAATATGTGTAGTGTGGTTGGGGTGCATTCAGACCATACTTTGTGACCATACTCAACTCTCTCATCAGACTCCAGATGTGGGAGGAGGGCACATTTGTATGAATACAGATACTTGTGCATGCCTCAACGCTACTGTCAGACTCTACAGGACAGACTACAGTTATGAGAGTTGGGCACATTTGTCATACTTGACAGTTTAGTATTGTGGGCTTACCTCAACTCCACCTTCAGACTGTATGGCACAGATTTCAACTGCAGGTGAAGGGAAGTATATTAATGGTGTATGGACCAGTATAAAGTAAGTTCATCTTGACTCTACTGAACAGACATTGGCTCCAGAAGGAGGACTTATCAGTAATTTATGTATAATAGACATTGTAAAGTGAATGCTCACCTCAACTCAACTGAATAGATTTTAATGTACAGGAGGCAAGCATCATATTATGTAGTATTGGTCCATACAATACATAACATGTGCACAGTATTATAGTATGTGCTCATCTCAACTCTACTGAACAGACTCAGGTTGCAGGAGGAGTTACAACTGGCATGAGTGATGTATGTGATGGGTGACATGCACTACACTAAAAGGGTTAACATTACCCCCATTCTCAAATTCTGTATCTATTGCCTCCCATGGTTGAGTCATAGCATTGAGGATTCTCCATGGTTCACCACTTCAATGGCTAGGAACTGGTAAGTAGCAGTATCTCCCAAGCTCCACTTGATGAGGAAGGGAGGGATTAATGTAGGGGAGATCTGGAGAAAGAGCCCAAATCCCCATTGGTTCTCAAGTCTGTAATGATCTTTTAATGGAGCCATGCAATGAGTGATTACAAAACCCTATTTTTAAATGCAAGCAAGTTCAAGCCAGAGAAGTTAGCAGAACACTTCTCTGTTAATGGCTTTTTCCATAATAGTCTACAGAATAGGTACAGTGTGGATCAGACAATTTAGTCAATATATATATATATACCACAAGGATACTTCAAGAGGTCTTGCAGAACACCCCATTTCAGGTAGAGCTAGAGTGGATGGTCTGAATACTTTTTGGTATCCTGGCTCAATGTGAATTTTGGGTAAGTATACCCTGGGAGGCAACACCAGCTACCTGGTAGGATCTTATAAATGAAAAAGGGGGCCTGAAAGAGTACACATTCATCACAAAAATGGTGGTGTGACAGGAGAATGGCAACTTGTGGAAGCCAAAACCATCAGGAGATAAAACAACCAGAAGGTGCAGGGAAGTGGCCACATGACTGTCTGGAGGAATCCATCTTAGGTCTGCAGAAGAAGAGATTTAAGGGTATGAAAACGTTGAGGAATAAAACATGAAGAAATGCAAAAGAGTCCCAGATCATCCACATCCCAAATGAACATGTCAACTGTAGGAGTTGATGGACTCATCCAGCAAGGTTAAAAGGGAAAAGGAGCTGGAAAAAAAGGGAGGGGTCCCACAATATGGACAGATGAAAAAGGGATCTAAAAAAGGGAAGTTAGTAAAATGTTACATTGAACAGTCCAACAGGACACAGGAGATGATTCGAGTATGCATGGTCTAATAGGCAAGAGACAGAAAAAAGGGATACAGTAGAGAAGTACTGTAAAACATCTAGGTGGATGATGTTAGAGGAAGGAAGGAAAAAAGAAAGGGATGGTCCAGGGAAGGGAATATATAGGTGTGGAGGAAGAGAGAGTGAGAAGCATATATGAGATAGAAATCTGTACAATGGTAATCATGGAGAACAAAACAAATCTGGAGAAAATAGCAGTTCAAAAAGGCAGGAAGTTAACAGCAGGAATGGGTCACACTCAAGGTCATGCAAAACCCTGTTAAGGAGGAGACTGGAGACTAACAAGCCACTAATAAACAGTTAGGTAAAAAAGGTAGTTCACAGAATACATATCAAGAGAAAAGGGGTGTCAGTGAGACCAATGATAAAAGACCCACCACTGACACTGATAAGACAAAGACAGAGGAAGAGCAAGAAGAAAGTGTTAACAATAATGCCATTGAGCAGAAAGCCTGATCTGATGAGTGACAGAATGGGTAAAGTCCTTGTGTGAGGATGGAGGGAAGATATCTCCCAAAGAAGAAGGAATGTATGAGGGTGAAGCAGTAGAGAGAGGAGAAATTGGGGAAAGGAGTGGGGGAGGGGGCTGAATGATAAGTGGACCAAGGCAGAGCTGGACAATGAGGACCATAAGAGGGGTTGTAAATACATCCAAAAGGGGCATGTCCAGCCAATAGTAAACTTTATGAAAGACCAAGGGGTGTAGAGACTACTCACTGATAGACTGGCTGAGAGAGGAGTACCACCACCAAGACATAGGTGTCTGGTAAATGACTAACCTGATGAGAATGGGCCTGGATGTGTATGTATAATGCCAAAGTGTAAGGCCTTGGAATGGGAGTCTCATGAATGGAAGGAGCAAGAAATGACAGTGGAACATGACCAAGTGATCCACAAGTATGGACAAGAAGCAGAACATGCCTGACGAATAGCAAGAAGGCCAGGTATGGTGACATGGAGTGGATTCCTGTCTAATGTCCAAATGCCAGAAGCCCTTCCCACCTCTAAAACTGAACCTCAATCAGAAGAAAGGACCAAAAAAAAAGGGAAGTTTGGACTGATAGATGGTAAAGGAATGCAGAAAGTATTGTAGACATAATATTCTTACTTTCCTTTTTAAAAATCATTATTACTAAATCTACAAATTTTGAAAAACTTCCCATAACAAAATTAAAAATATCTGTACATTTAGCAAAAACAGAAACCAAATCCATACAAAGAGTATCAAAATTGATCTATTATCATGCCAATTATAAAGACATTAAAATAAGATAATGAAAAATTATAACACTTGTCAGGAAATTACAAAAGGCATAATACTTCTCAAAATTTTACTTTTTAACAACTTTTTGTTTTTATCATTGTGAGATAATGCTGAATTTTTTTCCAATATATTATTGATGTAGATAAAATAATTTGAGTATTTTCATTTATATACATATTAAAATAAACCATAAAGACAGTTAACAAATATTTACACTAATTTCATGTAAGTCACTATGTTGTCTAGCTCAACAAACTCAGCCTTTGTAGTTGTTCTTTATTAACATTCAAAACTTTATAAAACTATTTCCCAAAAATGTTAGAGTCAAATTCAATCAAATTTTAATGAGTTTACAGATATTAAAACTAGTCTTGAATTCAAGGATTAGCAGAAAGCCATTTATTCATTCTGATAAACAGGACAAAAAATGAAATAATTTTGTTATAACCTCCAAATAATTGGCAGACAAAATGTTTTCTATACTGATCAAGTAGCTGGATTCTGAAGGTGGCATTGCTACAGCTCATGAGAACCTGAACACCTTGTGGATGGGTCACGAGTTAACTTGTGTTTTGTGCAGAGCATCTTTGTGTGACATTTATTAAAACATTGCAAACAAAAGGAGTGGGACACATTTTATTTTGTTCTGGATGGTCATTATTTTTCTGATTTTTGCTTACAATACCCATATTTTTTATAAATTACAGAATAATGTGTTGAGTGAAGATGAGATAATTACTGAACTATTTTATGGTAATTTGTCAGATCTTCCAAGTGAAGGTGAAGATTCTGATGTGGCTGTGTTTGTGGATCATTTCTGACAGTGATTCAAGCTACAGTGATGTTGTTAGACCTACAAAGATACGTAAAGTTGTTGTGCTCTCAACTGATTCTGAATCAGAAAGTGATGACGATTCTACAAATGTCCCTGTTAGTGATTTGTTTTCCCATTGTTATAATGATAACTGGTCAAAAAGAAATATTCCACTGAACTTGGATATGTTTGAAGGAAATCCAGGGGTCACTATAACTCCATCCGAACCTGAAAGTATTGCTGTCGTAACAAGTCTAATGTTTGGTGATGACTTGTTTGAAATGATCTGAAGTTACACCTACAGACATTAGGAAATTCCTAGGCCTTATTCTACTAATGGGACGGACAAGGAAATATAACTGAAAAGATTATTGGTCCACAGATCCTCTTTTGATTAGCCCAATATTTTTGTAGACAATGAGCCAAAACAGATTTGAACATTTTGGCATTTCAATGATAATCAGAAAATGGATGAGTCTTCAGGCAGGCTCTTCAAAATTCAACCAATACTGGATTATTTTCTCAATAAATTCAGGACACTATACAAGCCAAAGCAACAGTTGTCACTGGATGAGGGCATGATTCCATGGAGAGGACGTCTAAGATTCCAAACATACAACCCTGCAAAAATTTTAAAATATGGCCTGCTGGTGAGAATGGTGTTTGAGAGTGACACAGGTTATATTTGCAACATGGAGATTTATACTGGTGAGGGGAAAAAATTGAAGAAGACTATTCTTTTAGTTCTTGCTCCCAATCTGGGGTTGTGGCACCACATACGCCAGGACAATTATTACAACAGTACTTCCATTGCAAACATGTTCCTGGAACATGAAAGAAGAGTTTGCAGAACAATCAGAGTGAATAGAGGGTTGCCGCTAAGCCTGAAGTTTCAACAAAGAAAAAAGATGAAACAGCTTTCCATAGAAAATGTGATGTTCTCATTTTCATATGGAAAGACAAGGGAGAAATGAGAATGGTTTCACCCATCTATGACTCATCTGTTTCTACTACAGGAAAGAAAAATAGAATAACTGGAGAAGAAATAAAAAACCTGCATGTGTTCTCCAATGCAATACCCACATGAAAGGTATTAATCGTGAAAATCAGTACCTTTCATACTACACTATTCTCAGAAAAACAGAAAAATGGACAAAAAAGGTAGGACTTTATCTAATAAATTGCAACCTTTTCAATTCATATATAATCTACAAAGCCCTGAATCAACATAAAAAAATAAAATATAAGCAGTTCCTCCTCTCTGTGGCAAGAGAATGTGATTACTGACAAAGAGAAAGAAGCCTCACTGTAACTAGAGAGGAATGAACCTGTTCCATCATCTGAAAGTACAAGGAGAGCCCCACATAAGTATCCCCCAGGAAGACTATCAGAATAGTGGGATTGACCATCACATTATAATACTCACGCTGCTAATCAGTAATGGTTTCAATCATGCAATCAGCAGATTACAAGTCAAATGCTCTAACCACTAGGCATGCCAGGTCCCTTTGCTTATAGAGAAAAAATTATATTTCTTAAAAGATATGAATGTCACTTAAAGTACCGATTCCTGTTGTGAGCTTATAAAATCTCTTAAATCAAAAAACTTTATAAAAATTATACATGCCCATTTGGATGGTAAGAAAGATAACAGATGACTGATACCTGGAATGAAGAGTGTTGTACAGTCTTATCCCATCAGTGAGGCCACAAATCTGAATAAGATCATTTCTGGTCAGTCTCAACAAGTCTGAACCTAGATAGAAAAATGATGCAAGAGACATTAAAGCAACTTTTACCTACTTAGTCATAAAGGAAGCAAAATAGTAGCCAAGGATCAAGTGTTTAGTTACAACATAATATGAAAATTTTGGCAGTGGATATTATGAATAGTGTTAAAATACTATTTTTATACATTCTTCTAATTCTTGAAAATCCCTAAGGGACTAGATTAAGCATAGTTTTGAAATACATAATAGGCCCAACATAATGTTTTACGACAAGTATAATTCAATACAATACTGTTCTTTTTTACCCTGAAAAACAAAACAGATGTAATACTTCTCAAAATTTAATGGAACTGTTGCTAGATGGGCATAATTGAACCACATCAGCTTTGAAGAGGCCTACAGTTTCATTCTACAGCAAAAACATCATTAAT